AAAAAAAAGGGGGGGGGGGGGGGGGGGGGGGGGGGGGAGTATGTTGGGTAGTACCTCTGTACTTGTTGTTTCTGTGTCTTAATAAGTCAGCTTCTTAAACGAAACGCCTAAGAATTACTGTCTTGGAATATTTTGCACCTATATATATTCTGTATTTTGTAACATCTGTATGCTGGGTGGTGGTTCATCAGGAGGGGATGAATGTAACCATTTTAGATGCTTAACTGGCTGTTGGGACTTGCCCAGTTTGTAATCATGGTAATTGCACATACAAATATGGCCACGTAATTACATGTGCATTTTTGCATTTAGTTTCAGGAGTTCATTTAGAAAAATATAAATGCGGGCCAAAAAATCCTTTATATCTCGGCCTTCTGTGCTTTTATAACTCTATATAATTATGTAATAACACTGCATCTGAGAGGTTTCGCTTAAGTAAAAGCAATAAAGAGCTCAGGTTAGATTATATATTTTTTTGAGGTAGACCTACACCAACTTGCTCAGTATTGTGTTCTTCAGCTTGTAAGATTAAGTTCAGCAGTACTCGTGCAAGGAAATTTTCTTGTGAGAATAGAGAGCAATTTAATATGAAACCAAAACTGAATCAGGTAACTTAAGCTTCCACAGTGACAGAAATGATTAAACAGGCATTGATATAGTAAAATACACCAAATACTCAGATACTCGGGCAGTAAAGACTTTTGCCAAGGTACAAATTGGATACTAAAATGGAAGAATTACTTACGAGCAAAGTTCCAGCTCACCGAGAACAAATCTAAATCGTTATTATTACTATTGGCATTCATGGATTGAGAGAAAATAGATACAAATAGGTAGTGTAATTCATTACTACTTATGCATTCATATGCACATAAATAGATAATAAGACTAATTTCTCAGTGTTTTGCAGGTACAGATGTGTACGTATTATGTTTTTATAATCAAATGAGTATATAATTGTTGTTTGTCTGCAGTATTTCTATTCCTGGAATCGTTTTCACAAACGTTGAGAATGCCTAATGAAGACTGGTAGCTTTTTTGTATTCATTGTTACTGTAAACCAACAGTTATTGCGATACTGTCATTTCCCAGTCTGTATTCCTTGCTAATTTTCCCTTATGGCTTTTTTCCCAATGGATAGTATTACTCTGCTAAAGACAAGAGCAGAACTCTGCAGATGATACAGAAACAGATGTTAGATTTTGACACTCAGAAGTGAGGGTTTTCAAACCCACCCAGCTTCATCCTGCCTTCTTAGTCTGCCCCCACGCAAGGGAGATGTGAAATACCTCGTGAGAACTGCAGCATCCAGCTCCTCTCTGAGAAACGATATATATTGTATTAAATATTTTCATTTAATTTCATTTCTCGTTAGTTCAGAAGGCTGAAACAGAATTGTGCCAATGCGATCCTCTAAGGTAGTTTGTGGCACATGAAAATTTAACTCTTGTCAATGAGCTGCACAAATATGGTGTCCCAGGTGATAAGGAACGAACCCAAGTCTGGTCTGAATGGCTCTAGATTAAGAAATGATTGGTGTTGCGATCTTTGTCGTGGTTATGGCAGTAAAGAGAAAGGTCCGTTTTCCTATTTGAAATGTTCATATCGGCATCTATCACAAATCTCTCTTGTGCATTGATGCCAAATAGTCTTTCTGGCATGTTTTAAAATAAAGTCATCTAGCTCTTTTTTTTTGTTTAGGTTAATGTCTGTGTTTAAGCAGCTGTTTTGAAATGCAGTGCCGTTTTTACACCAAAAAGAAAAATTGTTTACTTCTTTTACATTTTTTGGCACCCTTTTTTCCTTTAAATGTAGACAGCTACAGTCAGAGCTAGC